AATTGGTAAAAATAAATTTGTAATTATACCAATTTTGTGACTATAGAGGAGGTGACTATAGAGGGGTTTGACTGTAAATACCAAGAATATATTCTGTGAGATGTAAAATAAGATCACCCAATAAATTATTTTATTGCTGTATACAAATCAATATTTTAAAAGTGAAATTACAATTGCTTTATCGTTATATAATCATTTTTGTAATTAATGATTAATGTCATATGCCATGTTTCTGTTGACCAATTCCCCAAGTATTTTTATTTAAAAAAAACAAAATCAAATAACAAATTATATATATGTTTATATTTAGAATATTCATGAATAAGATTATAATTACTGTAAAACCGTTAAGACAATTAAAAGTCATGTTATAAAAAAAAATAATAAAGATTTATGCACTAGGAAGTTTAGCATTCAATGCTTTCCAATAATTATTAACAAAGAGTGTTTTACCCTTCACATTTTTGGTCATGAAACTACCGGCAACCATATTACCCATTGGTAAAAGAAATGCTCCTTTGTTCTAGTATAAATGAAATAAAATAGAATAAAATAAATAAAAATAAATAAATAACGAAAGAAATTATAGTATAACAGATAAATAAATAATAGACAGCGTAAAATAATACCTTTCCAATGGTAATACACATAGATTCAGGACCAGGTTTATATTCAACCAATTTTTTATTATTAATGCGTGCAATAATATTTTTAGCTACAATATCAGCATGAAGGCCAGCGCGGTAGGCAAGCTTTGTTTCATTGATATTTGTTATGTCGCCGAGGGCGAATATATGTCCATAATTATCATGATCTAATTGAAGAGTTGACCTAACTTTTACTCGTGTGGTATCTTCTTCAATCAATGTATGGTCCAAGGTTTCTATAACGCTAGTGTTGAGCTTTACGCCAAAAGCTACAAATTGAACATCTGATTCAATTTGCGTACCCTATAAAAAAAGAATAAAAGTTGTTAATATTATACATATATGAAAATACAAATATATATATTATACATATATGAAAATACAAATATATATATTATACATATATGAAAATACAAATATATATATTACGTATACATATATGAAAATACAAATACGTATATATATTATACATATACGAAATACAAATATATATATTATACATATATGAAAATACAAATATACAGTCAAACCCCTCTATAGTCACCTCCTCTATAGTCACAAAATTGGTATAATTACAAATTTATTTTTACC